TAGTAAAACCAATACCTTCTCAGCTTCGCATCGAAGCTAATAGTGTTGATATTCAGATTTTTTTTAAAAAATGTACCGACAAAAATCACTAAAAAGTTATAATTGAAAACACTTCAATCGTGACATTATATTTTCTATTTTGACACGGCCCGCGTCGCTTCGTTATACACGATTGCCCCGCGACTCGCGTCACCTTTATTACCCGTCACCCTACTATGGGTATTTGACTGACCAACACCGCGTGTTATACGCTACGGTGCAAAGTCCAGCAAATGCCGCACGGCTGACGACGACCCGCCGCAAATGGTGCGAGAGTCTTCCTCCCGTTGTGAAAACGACAACGTCGACCAACCGATACACACCCGCGCACCGTCGCATACAACGCTGCTAAGCTTTTGTCGCCCAAAGATCACGCCGGACATCGCGTCGTCGACGCCAGCGAAAATGCCGCGATATTAAGCAAAGATTTTCATTATTGTGTTTATCTTTTCGGTTTGTTTTATTTTTTGTTAAAATAACCTGTTGTCGCTCATTTAATAAACGGCCCACGGGTCTCTACCCTCATAACCAGTGTCGACCACATTTTTGCGACGTAAGTCGTGTCAACTGGCTCCCCGGCAAGGATTCAAAACCGGAGTAACTTTATAAAAAGGTAAGAAAACCATTTGCTGACTTGTCTTTATTTTATTTTATTTTTCATATAAGAGACAGCTAGGTGTACTTAGCCACCCTGTGCTGCGAGTTATTTCAGTCATAGCTTGCTGGTGACAGCCAGGGCCATCCTTAGGGGGGGGGGGCAAGCAGGGCCTAGGCCCTGGGCCTCGCGCTTTTAGAGTCTCGCACAAAAATACCAGACCTGGAGAAAGATGAGTAAAAAAAAAGGTCATTGAGAAAATTTTCCTACTTGCACCAGATGATGTAAACTTCCCGCCACTTCTCGCAACTTCTCGCACTTCAAAAAAAAAAAGTAGAGTATTACTTGGCAATTTCATTTAAAATTAATTAGTTCTTGTGATTATATTTTTTTAATTTGTATATTTAAAAAAAGCTGCTATTTAAAGAGAAGTAATACATTTGAAATACAATTTCAAACATTATAAAGGTAAACGTCGAAATATTGTATTAAATTTATATGGATTATATATATAGATCAATTGGTTTACTAATTTCCCCATGTTCATTTTTCACTCAACTCGCATATGCACATACACTCGAGATACGCGATTAGGCAAGGCATGTTATTTTAATCGACGAATTTCGTAGAAAAATAGTCAAAATAATAAAACCATTTATTCACCAAAATAACAAACTGTTTGTACAGGTAATTTTTAGTATGTGTTCGTTTTTCGTGGTCGTTGGAGCTTAAATATCGGTTACCAAAATAAAATGAGTGGCCCATTACGTGATAAATATCGAAAATTTAAAAGTGGTGCTGAAAAGCGAAAACTTAAAAATGTTCAAAAAGAGCAGGATAAACTTTTAAAAAACTCTTTATGTAAATTTTTAAAAAAAGATCAAAATGATTGTGTTGCCGGAAGTAGTAGTCAAGTTAACATTGAAAATAACGAACAAAAATTATTGTTAGACAATATTACTATTAATATTATTGCCACAAAAATACGTGATGAAATAATAAATCGAGTAAGACAAAGTAAATATTTCACAATTTTATTGGACGGAACTCCTGATAAAGGTCACAAGGAGTAGCTTACATTTTTATTGCGCGTTATAGAAATTTCGAAAATTTTCAAATATGAAATAAATGAATATTTTATATGTTTCATTCATACTACAAGTAAGACTGGCTTGAATTTAACAGAGGAAATAAAAGCACAATTGAAACTAATGAATATAGATTTAAATAATTGTCGTGGCCAAGCGTATGACAACGGGGCGAATATGATAGGTCATCATCAAGGAATGCAGTCAAGAATCCTTTCTGAAAACCCAAGAGCTTTTTTTGTTCCGTGCACTGCTCACAGCCTTAATTTACTTCTCGGAGATATGGCATCATCCGTACCAGCTGCTATGAAATTTTTTGGGGTAATTCAAAGAATTTTTGCTGCCTCTACTGAAAGATGGACTATTCTTCTCAAATACGTTTCAGATTTTACACTAAAACCAATGTCAGATACTAGATGGGAATCTCGGGTCGAATCGGTTAAGCCTATCCGTTTTCAATTATGCCAAGTACATGACGCTTTAATAGAAATTAGTGAATCAACGAAGGATCCTAAAATAAAAAGTGAAAGCTCGTCATTAGCAAACTATGAATTTTGTTATGACTTTATTTTAAGTGTTGTTATTTGGTATGAACTGTTATCTGCTATAAATAAAGTTAGTAAGAGTCTTCAGAGCAAAAATATGGAATTGAGTAATGCTGTACAGTTATTAAGTGGTCTTAAAGATTTTTTTTATAATTTTAGAAATGAAGGGTTTGAGTCGTCAAAAAAAATTGCGCAAAATTTATGTGAAGGCCTTGATATTCAAGCAGTTTTTAAACAATCTAGAATTAAAAAAAAAGTTAGGCAGTTCAATTATGAAAGCAAAGATGCACGTCTAAATTCAGCTGAGCAAACATTTTACGATGATTATTTTTTAGCCGTAATAGATCAAGCAATCTTATAAATTAATAAACGTTTTGAACAACTATCTCATCATTCAGAATATTTTGGATTTTTATATAATATTGAAAATTTAAAAACATTTGACGAAGAAACGTTAAGAAAACATTGTATGGATTTAGAAATTTTATTAAAAGATGGTGAAAATAATGATATAAATGGTATTGAACTTTTTGACGAATTAAAAATTTTTTGTAGAATTTTGAACAAACAAATGACTTCTATAGAATGTCTTAATTTAATAGAAACAACATGTGGCTCATTTCCAAACATTTCTATTGCATTGAGAATATTATTGACCCTTCCGATAACCACAGCAAGCGCAGAGAGAAGTTTCTCCAAGTTAAAAATCATAAAAAATTATTTAAGGATATCTATGACACAAAATCGTCTTTCTGATCTATGGTTGTTATCTATGTTTTGTTGATATAACATTATTTGGCCCTAGGTACTAGCCTGGTACTCTGACTATTGATGAGCAAAAAAAAAAAATGTTCATTTTTGACTCGGGCCTCGCAAATTGTAAGGACGGCCCTGGTGACAGCAGTGAATTCCCCACTCGGTTATAGTAAATTGTCGATAGCGCAACAATTGTAGAATTTCACTTAGCTATTTTAACAAGTTTATATTAATTTCACATGTATGGTGTTTGTGAGTTGTGCGTAACTTTCCACGCGCACGTGTCGCGTCGTCTATAACCTTGAGACTAGACTGTCGTAACGCTTTCACCCCACCCTGCTCACCACACGCCTGCAAAACTAATCCTGTATAATTTTATATTTTTGGTTTTCGTACCTGTACACGCGTGCCTGTAATCAATTATATATATATATATATAGAAAAAATTTTTAATTGACTTACCAATACCGCCCGCGTGTAATGCACCTTACGTATATATATTTGTATATTCCTACCGCCGCTGCCGTTATTTGTACCTTAGATATAACGTTCCCCCCGCCCACAAAACAAGGTTATACCTAGTGCATGTTAGTTTTACAACATTGTTTGTAACAATGAGAACATTAGAAACCCGTTTCCTGACTTACTGAACACCCTGTATATATATTCCTACAGCCGCCGCATATGCCTCGCGTACAACGTTCCCCCGCGCTCCGCCCGCTCACAAAACCCAGCTATACCTCGTGCATAATACGTTTACGTACTTAAGTCGCTTTACTTGTATAAATATATATATTCTAATTACTATTAAAAATATATATTAACACGCTTTATTCTCATTAAAAGATATAGAGTGTATTCATTCCGATTACAAAGGATAATATTTATTGATATAAATGATATGATATAATTTTTCTGGAATTTTCGATAAGAGATTAGCCATACATTGTAACACATTGAATCCACGTATTTTTAACACGCTTATATTAGTTTCACCTGTATGTATGTTTGTAACTCTCCAAACGCCACCGTTATCGCATATTCCGTCGTCTAGACTAGACTGTCATAACGCATTCACCCCTCCCCACGCCTCGCTCACCACACGACGGCACACTATTCCTATAAAAATTTATTTTTAGTTATCGTACCCGTACACATGTGCTTGTCATCAATATTATATATATATATATAAACAAATTTTTATTTTGACTGACCAATACCGCCCGCGTCTAATGCGCCTTACGTATATATATTTATATATTCCTACCACCGTTTATACCTCAGGTATAACGTTAGTCCGACCCGACCGCCCGCCCACAAAATACGGTTATACCTAGTGCATGATACGTTTACGTACTTAAGTCGCATTATTTGTATATACAGGGTGATTTTTTTATCATAACCCACTCAATTACTTGCAGAATAATAATAATATAAACATTTTTTTTTTTTTATTATCTTTAGTTACACATTATTCTTGAATTTTTAACTATGTAATACTTTTTAAGTTCATCCCTTATGCCTTGGAGGGGGGTCAACTTTGTTTTTTTAAATGGTAACACATATTTTTAATTTAATAAAATGTTTGAGTTTTTAATTTAATAGTAAATGGCATTTGAATTTTTAATATAACTTTATTAGCTTATTAGATATAAACATTTAAAGTTTCAATTTTTTGAGTTAATATACATGTATAATATACATGGGATTGTAAATAAAGGTAGCTAATTGGATTTTTATAACATCGATATTAGCAGGTACACAGCATTGTTATTATCAATTGTAGTAAGGCAAATTGTTATGAGTTTATAAATACACTAACTGACAATACAGAAAGTATATCTATTGATAATCATAATTGATAATAAACAATCCGTGACTGAGACAGCAATGTCATAAAAAACCAATTAGCTACCTGTATTTGTAATCCCTTGTGTATTATACCTATATATTAACTCAAAAAATTGAAACTTTAAATGTTTATATCTAATAAACAAATTGAGTTTTATTAAAAATTCAAATGCCATTTATTATTGAATTAAAACCTCAAACATTTTATTAAATTAAAAATATCTGTTACCATTTAAAAAAACAAAGTTGACCCCCCTCCAAGGCATAAGGGATGAACTTAAAAAGTATTACATAGTTAAAAATTCAAGAATAATGTGTAACTAAAGATAATAAAAAAAAAAATGTTTAAATTATTATTATTCTGCAAGTAATTGAGTGGGTTATGATAAAAAAATCACCCTGTATATTATAATTACTATTAAAATGTATATATTAACATGATTTATTCTAATTAAGAAATATAAAGTATTCATTCCGATTACGAGGGATGATTCCCGTATCGTCATTTTTCGTCACTACCTCCATGTTCCGGGAGTGGGTAATTTACGCACCTGCTGCTTTCCTTGGGTGTGGTAGCCGTTTCATAGACTCCCTCCCCGGAATCGAACCCTGATTTCCCGTTATTCGTTACAANAGAATCGAACCCTGATTTCCCGTTACTCGTTACAACCATGATATTGATAGTAACTACTATCATAACATGAAACCCAACCAAACCATTGATAATATCAATGCTCTGTACCTGTTAATATCCATGTCATAAAAAACCAATTAGCTACCTGTATTTGTAAACCCTTGTGTATTATACATGTATATTAACTCAACATTTTTTATCCCTATTGTTTGAACACGTGTAGAAAAAATTAATATTTATGGTTTAAATATTACGTTGTCTAAAAAAAAAGTACAAAATATTAAAATATTATATTCACTATTATAAATTAATTTCCATTTTTCAGTTAATATGTTAAATAAATTGAAACATAATATATTATGATTACTCAGTAATATTAATTAAAACTCGTAATACGTGTAACAACTATTTTGTTGGTTGCATCCTTACACCTCGTAATAAACCATATTTTGAAAATTTACCTTAAGTTTTTTGTGAAAATTATTCATGAAATTATATGTTTGTTATGTTAACAACTTTTCAAAACAGTGGCGTATTTAGGAGTAGATCGTGACCTAGGGTGTCATTTTTTCCAATTAAGAACTAAAATCTTATTAAATGTATTATTTATTTATATGTAACATAATTTATAAATTATATCAATTAATCTTAAAATGAATAAATAAAATAAAATTATATAAAATATATGTAACACTTTATTTTCGAAAATTTAAGTATTGTTGTTTTAAAGTGTATTAATCATTTTTAATTTAACTTGTATGCAATTGTAAATACATTTTTGTTAGAATTTGTGTAATTAAATTATTTATATAGTTTTAGCGAATTACTTAGAATAAATTCACATCAAATAAATTCAATTAGCAAATTATAAATGTATGTATTAGTAATAAATTATTGTTATTAAAAAGTATTATATTAATTAAAAATAAATATTAAAATATTAAAAATCAAGCTGTATGAATTTAATTTTCAAAATATTTATTTATGTTATTACAATAAATTGCAAACAATCGTAAAACAGAAATGTTCATCGAACAATACCTAGAACGCCGTATACCTAATGGAACAATAGAATCCGTTTGACGAACGTGACCGTTCGAGAAACGTGTCCGTTCGAGAAACGTGTCCGTTCGTTGAACGTATTTCGAGGAACGTGTCCGTTCGACGATCGTGACCGTTCGAGGAACGTGTCCGTTCAACGAACGGACGATTCAAAAATAGACTCCCAGATCAACGCGTTCGATTTAGCATTTAACAACCGGGTCCCATAAAACCGTTTGTATTATTATTTCCGACCTTCGAAATCATAAAGATTATAATAACATCATTCCCATACAAAACCCATTATCTTAGTGCTATACTCATGACAAAATAGATAGGTATGTCAGCAACAAACGAGTTTTGGACCGTTTGACGCATCCCGCCCTTCTCACCCTTAGTAATAGTTCGCCTCATTTCATTGGGCATAGGTTTGCCCGCCAAAATACAATTCTTTAAATCAAATACTTGACAGCAACTTTAATATTTTGTATTGTTTTTTATGATACCTTTACCTTTTACTATTATTGATTGATATCAATCTATTGTGATATCTATTTATACTACAATATCAACAAAAATGATCAATTTACAAATTATTTGATATGAAATGATTATATTTCACGGCATGGGTATATTAAATAAAATGAACAGCGTTTATTTTAAGTGTCTTAAAATATTTTGAAAACTTGATATACTTACATACTTTTACTCAAAATTATATTTTTGATGACAAAATACCTGTTTGTGAGTTTTTTGGTTGTACTAGCGGTAGTAAAAAAAAATCATTGGTTAAAAATAAAAAAATAACCTTGCATCGATTTCCAAAAGATCCAGTCTTAAGAAAATTCTGGGAAAAACAAATAAGATTAGGCCAAATAACTAAAAAACCAATAAATTTTCTGGTAAAAACAAGTAACTGTTAATTAACATTGTCATATTTTTTTCAGAATCCTAAATAAATTACACTATTATTTCATCGTTATATTTATATTTAGCTGTTTATTATGAGCTTGTTTAATTTCATTTAGCTATTGTTTGTTCATTGCATTTTACAAATGATAATTATGCAATTTATTCTAATAATAAGGATAGGAAAGTTTTAAAACGAAAAGCTATTCCTTTACCTTTAAAATAAGTTTAAAAAACTATTATATTCATGAAATATTATTTCTAAATTACACAAATACATCATGTATTTTACATACTCAATTATAAATTAAATTACTCTAAATAATAAATTATACTTATAAGTTTACATAGCAAGAATCACGTTTTTCCTCTTAAGGAGTACATTACTCCTCCAAAAAAAACATTCATTTAATGAATCTGTAGTAATTACTTCAGCTGGAAAATTCTCTGTGTAACTATTACATTTAAACATCATTTATTTTTAAATCATTCATCAATTAAGTTCAATTTTTTATATAACAAAATTGACTTTTTAGAGAAAAATCATGTGTTCTTGTTGTGTTAAATGTACAGAAAAATACAAAGTTAACCTTTTTCAAGACCTTGAAGTTAAACCTCTCGAAGAGAGTTTAAAGAGTGAAATAGAAAATAATATATTATTCCAAGAATAATACACACATTTATAATATATTTACAGTGCCGATTGTTGAACTCTAAGGGCTCCGGTGCGAAAAAAAAATGTAGGGGCTCCTAATTTAAAATGTTATAAACAAAGTCACAAATATACATCTATGATAACTCTATAGTTACAAAATAATGGAGTACAAAGTATAATAAAATTAATAGTATATTATTATCTACAGAATAAAGAAAGCCTTCAATATAATAGTAAAAAGGTTATCTACTTTACCAACTTGGGCACTAAAATTTTTAGTTGATGAAGGAATATTGACTAGTGTTTTATCATTGATGAAATCTAAAGGTATCTTTACGAATGTAATATTTATAAAAATGTATTTTTAATAATGACTTATTTAAGAATATATTTAACTTTTAATAAAGGAGANTAATATATTGAACTTTTATAATCTACTTTTAATAAAGGAGAACTTATAAGCATAGCTGACAAATTAACTGTAATTTGTTTTGATAAAACCTATATTTCAAGTAGAATTTGTTTTGACAAAAAAAAATGAACGGGTTATTGGACCCCATAAGTGTGTCCAAACAGTTATAGCTCGAGGTACATAAAATAAATATGATAACATAATGGTTATATAAGAAGTGTACTCCTATACTTAATTTAATCAAATTATCCAATGTATAGGGTTAGTAGGTAATTGGAAACAACCAATTATGTATGGTTATGATACTCCAATGACTAAAGATTTGTTATACAAAATTATTCAACAACTGCATTTTTCTGGATTTAATGTCAAAGCGATAATTAGTGATATGGGTTCATCAAGTTATGGAAAACTTTAGATATATCCATAAATAATACTTCTTTTAAACATCCTATCTCAAACTAAAACATTCATGTTTTCGCAGATGTCCCACATCTCTTAAAATTAGCATGAAATCATTTAATTGACAAGTATCTAATTTGTTTATAAAATAATCTCTATAATAATACTTATTAAATAATTATTTTAGAGGTTTTATACTTTCCAATGGAAAATTTATAGGGAAAAATATTTTTGAAGAATTATTTATGTTGAACTCTAGATACGATTTTAAATTGGCTCATAAATTGAACAATAAACATTTATTAGTTGAAGGGACAGGCCGAATGAAGGTTCAATTAGCAGCACAGTTATTATCTAATTCAGTATCTAAAGCTATTGAATATGGCGGAGAAAAAAAATTATTTGAAAAATATAACTGGAAAGAAGTAAATTAAATATTTATTCAGAATTTTTTACATTTTGGATTTCTGTATAAATGTATGCATGGCTAAAAATTATTGTTCTAAAACAGGCTTCAGAAATTGTTTTACTTATCAATAACTGGTTTGACCTACTAAATACTCAACATAAATTTGATAAAGGAGTAAAAATTTATGGCTTAGACGAAACATATCACAATGATTCACTTAATAAAATGAATAGTTTTATCAAATCAATGAGAGTTTTTAAAAAGACAACTTTACTACCTTTTCAAAAGGGTAAAATACTTAAGTCATTTTAAAATTGTTTATTCAAATTTTAGACTATAAAAATATACATACATTATTTTCACGCTATATTAATTCAAACTACTTTGTAGGAATTTTGGTTACCAATTCATCCTTAAAAAATTTACTATTAGATGTAAGAAACTTATACGGTCTTCAATATATCATGACTAGGAAACTTAATCAAGATATATTAGAAAATTTATTTAGTTTCCTAAAAAGAATGTCCGGAAGTGCAAGCAACAATATAACTGCATTGGATTTTAAATACTAATTAGAATTTATTTGTTTTTATGTTGAGTAAGATTACAAGGTATCACTTATAATTTAATACATTTTCTAGTTTAAGGTGGTATGTATTAGGTAAGCATTCTCACTTAGTATTCACTGAAAATACCAATACAGAAGATGGTTATGAAGATAGTCTGTTGAATAATTCAGAATGTATCACATCAGAATTATTCAATAGTTCAGAATTGTCCAAAGATATCTCTAATGATACTGTTGATTCAAAAAACCGCAGTATTTGTGTAAAGGAAACAGATATTCCAAAATCAAATTTTAACTTGCTAGAACAATTTGAAGTATATATAAGCTAAAAATATTTAATGAACCATAAACAACAAATACTTACATTTTTTTTTAGTTGGACATTGAAGAACCATTTGATGAAATAGAAAGAGATGTGTAGAATTTATGGCAGGTTATGTAGCTAATCGGTTCTCAAATAAATATCCAGATTTGATAGATTTAGATGCAGAAGAAAAAAAATGTTGGACTAATCAAATATCAAGAGGCCAATTAAAAATTCCACCAGACAACCTAATGCGAGCAATGAAGCAATTAGAAATATATTTCAGAAGTCTGCATGGTGACAATCTGTCAAAAGCTCCTAAAATTTTTACAACATTAACAAACAAATTAATGTTAAATAATGGAGAGTACAATATACCCAAAGAAGTGGTAGAATATTTAGTTAGAACAAGAACTTATATAAGGCTAAATAATTTAAATAATCAGTTAATTTGTCAAAAATTTACTTAATAAATAAATGTATGTAATAAGTAAAATTAAATTACCAAATAACATTAGGCCAGTTCGCCTTAGGATACTGTGCCGACAAACCCACCTCTTGGCTTTATAAAAAAAAAAAGTAACATTAGTGTGAAGCAAATTATATATCATTTAATGCAATGAAAGCACTTCTAAATATTAAGTATATTATATACATAATTTTTCATTGTTCNCGACAAACCCACCTCTTGGCTTTATAAAAAAAAAAAGTAACATTAATGTGAAGCAAATTATATATCATTTAATGCAATGAAAGCACTTCTAAATATTAAGTATATTATATACATAATTTTTCATTGTTCCTCTATACGCTACAAATTATTTTTGCACAATACAGTGGAGCCCCAGTAATCTGACAAACGTTTTGCAGGTCGTGTCGAACTATCGAATTTGTCGGATTATAGAGTATTCCCTAAGACCTCCTATAGTCCGGAAATTTTAACAAAAGGGTACCTTGTAATCCGGAAAATCACAAATCCAAAGATAAGATTTGGTCTTGATAGGCTCTGGTGTGAAGTACAAATCATTCATCAAACGACTTCTTGAAAAGGTCTTTTGTCATCCACGCACTTTTTTGACCATAATAATGTACAGGCAAATCAATGTTTTTGAATCACATGGTTTATTCGATTTTCCAACGACAACCATTTTTAGCGCGTGTGTACCCGCAGCATTTGCACATGGTAGTATGGTTACACACTCTTTACTTTAGCCCAGGTACGGATTTTTCGTTAAAGGAAACTAAAGTTTTGTTTGGTATCACACGCCAAAAAAGTCCTGATTCGTCTGCATTGTACACTTGTGATGGGTTAAGATTTAAATCTTTCACCTTTTGCAAAAATCTTAATTTAAATGGCTCTATGCAGGTAGCATCATTAGAAAGTTTCTCTCCTGTTATAGTCATTAAACGTATGCCATGACGACTTTTAAAATGTTCTAACCATCCCTTGCTAGCCACAAAATCATCTTTTTTTATAATTTCCTTATAAAAAAACTTAGCTTTCATGGCCAACATGGGTCCCGAAATTGGAGCATGCCTATTTCTTTCCTGAAGAAACCACATGTCCAAAGCTTCTTCCACTTCTGGATGTTCAGCTTTCTTGAGTATCTGTCTCTTGCCTGGCCCACAGTCAGTAGTTGATACGAAGTTTTTAATCTTCTCATGATTTTTTTTAATATCATAAATTGTAGATCGGCCTACGCCATATTCACTTGCTAAACTACTAAAAGATTCATTACGATTTAAACGGTCTAAAATATCACATTTTTTTTTAATTGTCAGTGTTTTGTGCTTTCGCTTCTGGGCTTGTGACGACATAATTTACTAGGTACGTATACGTAATACACAATGAATAAACAGTACACAAAGAATCTATACTTTGAGCACAATAGTGATGGCACAATTGTAACCTGTTCAATCATGCATTATCTACATTAGCGAAGATTGTAAAAAAAATACCCAATAATAATAGACATGTCGGATTACAAGGGGCGCCGGATTAACCAGGGGCCGGATTACCGGGGGTCCACTGTATTAAATATTAACGCATAAATGATCATAATATCACTATATTTATGGAAAATGACCATACAAATATTCGGCTATAGAACCAGCTATAGATGGGATGAAGAGTGGGTTGCGTATCACAAAGTTGTTGAAATACCTATCTATTTTGTCTTGGCTATACTACAACAGTATCACAACAACTAAATAATAATACAAGCGGCCGACGTTGTTGACGTTCATTCGCGAACACATAGCGCGTATTCTCGCGACCGACGATAACGTATTTCCGAATAACAAAAACAAACAAGCGCTTGCGTTTTATTTATTAATTTTTGTTCATTTTCGCAANTCCGGATTAACCAGGGGCCGGATTACCGGGGGTCCACTGTATTAAATATTAATGCATAAATGATCATAATATCACTATATTTATGGAAAATGACCATACAAATATTCGGCTATAGAACCAGCTATAGATGGGATGAAGAGTGGGTTGCGTATCACAAAGTTGTTGAAATACCTATCTATTTTGTCTTGGCTATACTACAACAGTATCACAACAACAACAATAATAATACAAGCGGCCGACGTTGTTGACGTTCATACGCGAACACATAGCGCGTATTCTTGCGACCGACGATAACGTATTTCCGAATAACAAAAACAAACAAGCGCTTGCGTTTTATTTATTAATTTTTGTTCATTTTCGCAAAATACGGTAAAGAACGTCCACTATGTCAGGTAAAACTTTGTCTCAGATGAACCGTCGGCAACTATTGCGCGAGTGCGCTTATAGACAGCTAAATGGACCCACGACGAAAAGCGATATGCTAGCCGTTTTGGAGAATAGCTTATGCAGCGAAAGGCTAGACCCATCGAACACGATTCTACCCGAACGCCCACCGCTTCACTACGAGACGTTCGCGACGGAACGCGAGTCACAGGTAGACGACGCCCCCGTGCTATGCCGGACCGTCGACTCCACTACAAACGCGGACCAACCGGTTAACCTGGCGCTAGAGGAATCCGAAACAGGGTCTCTACTAGTAGTTCCAGGCAACCGGTCGCTCCAACAGAAGTGCGAACGCAGCGTATACAGATGACATGTATACGGTACGCTCAATATCCCACGCAACGGAGGAGATAGACGCGTTAAGGCAGAGTTTACGCGATATATCCCTGAATACACGCATGGAAGCACGCATGTCAGAAGTAGAGAGAGCACTGTCCCGCATTACGCGGGAGATCTAGTCCCCTCACACACAATTACAAGTCGCGATTTAAACAACAAGACCATGCTAAATCCGTTCGCCACCGCACAGATGACACGAGGAACAGTCGAAACAAATCGTACTGATTATGCGCACTTGCCGGAACAAAACCGCGTAACGTTTGGGCCGAGTAGCATGACCCAGAATAACGCGGCTTTACAACAACGTTTGACGGAGATCGAAGAGCGCGAGGCGCGCAATATACAACGATTAGCCGGCCAGACCACGCGCGCGTCTCCATCACTACCTCGAGCGAGCACGCATGAAGCAACTTTTCATTTAGACGTGCGCACATTCGTGCCACCGACATGCGATTTGTCACCGTCCTCATAAACCCGCTCATATACACATTTGGCGACTGTACCGTATAATAATCCGCCTGTTTTACGTCCTCCGTCTCTCGAGTTCACGGAAAATATGAGGAGGACCCGAGGGAATTTCTGGAGCAGCTAGAAAACCTCCTGACTCAATCCGGTATTCATTACGATTTGTGGGTGAAAACCGGGGTACAGTTTTTAAGGGACATGGCATTTACTTGGTGCGAGTCCAATAAGTTGAACAACATGTCCTGGCGCCAATTTTCAAGGGAGTTTCTCGTGGCGTTTGATAATAATAGCATCCAAGCTGAGCTGGAAAACGAACTCATGACAACACAACAGGGGCCCCATCAGCGTATGACGGAATTTATTATAAATAAACAACGTTTAGCGATGTGCGCACGCCCCAGTTGTTCCGAGCAGCAGATCGTAGATCGTGTAGTTAGTCTTTTACGCGACGAATATTACGGTAACGTGAAAATGCGAAGTCCGCGTACTCTAGACGACTTGTGCGTAATCGCGAACGACTTCGACAGGCCCTTACGCACGAGTAAGCTAAAAGCCAACTTAAAGCCGTACGTACCGCCGCCGGCGCCTCCCCAACCACCTCAAGTTTTTCTACAGCGGGCGGGCGCGCTTAACGCGGATAGTTCCCCCCGACCTTGCCGATATTGCGGAGCAGATCATTGGCACAGCAGTTGTCCTAATAGACCGACAGTTTCGGGTAACGAGCAGCAGCCACGAAGAAATTAGTCCGCTCTTCTGGATCAAAGACACAGTTTCGGTCACCCACAAACAAACACACAACACAACACGCAGCGCGAACAACCAATTCGTTCGGCGTCGATAGTGAAATCGAGCGCGTTCCTCTCGGCCAAAATGACGAAATTTTTAATGACCTTCCCCCTCACCTCGCCCATTCACCGGGCCCTTAACCTCGACTACAACCCCTCGCTCACAACGCAGGACAAGCTGTAGCCCCTTTAAATTCACTCACCGCATCCCCCACCCAATGCGGTCCTCAAGGTTTTTAAAAAAATTAATCATACGGCCGAGAAAACAAAAGTTCCCGTGCTATACGATAACAGCGCGAGTCAGACCAACGATTTGTTAGTCACCGTGGGGGAGGGGATACCAGCCGAGACGGCCTACCCGCTTATGGCGATTGACACCGCCGGCGGACAAACCGTTCAGACGTTCCCCGTTCGAACCGTAAACCACCCGAGTTTTGCCAAACAAATACGCCCGCGTAAAATTACAACTCCCGCTGTGGAACTTTAATTTAACAACGGCATTGTAACGGCATTACTTGACTCACAAGCGCAAAAGTCATATACCACCCCGGCAATAGCCCATAAATACGGAATTGTGCACAAAGAACCCACACACGTGGTTAGGCTAGCAGACGGCCACACGACACCCACCGTCGGCACCGCTTTCTTGACAATTTACTAATTCACTTTCTTTTTTATTTATTTTTTTAAAAATATTTAAATTTTCATCCTGTGACAATTTAAATATTTTAATAGCATCTAGACTAAGTAATAAATCATATGAAAAATTATTGTTTTTTATAACATATACATCTAAAACTTTTTCAATTTTATTCATTTTTAAATGTAAACGTGCCCGGCTATTGGTAAAATTTACTCCACTTATTGTTTTAAACAAACTATGATTTTCAAAAAATTTTGTTTTTAATTGGTTTATAACCTTGTGATTAACAATCACATAAACAATGTAATATTTGAACCACTATCATAGATACCTTTTACTTTTTTTGATTTATTAATTAATACGTTTAATGTTATAAGCGGTGTAAATTTTTCCGGGCGATTTAGTTTTTTTGGTTCTCTAATTCAATATCCAATAGTTCATCAATTTCAGTTTGATTGACTTCGGATACATTAACATTTCTTTTTTCCAAATATTGTAGCTTGTTCCGACAAAGTTGAAGTGGATGATAACGATTAGGTTTTTTTAGAGCCTCACACATATAACAAGGCTTTTTTTCAGAAAATCCTTTTGGTGCTACATAATACTTCTTGTCAACATTACTCTTTCCCTTTATAATTCATTTAAATATTTAAAGTTATATGCAAATCTGACATTTGCCCAACTTTTATCAGTATACACTTGTAAAAAGGACCCTACCCAATCTGACCATTTGTTTATTGATAATTTTCTTAAATTTGAATTATACCATTCTTTTGCACTCTCTTCTAAAAAAAATTTTAAACTTTGTATCTTCTTAATTTCCTCTATGACTTTATATCTATCACACTCTTTTTCAAATTGGTCTAACCATTCTTTTGCTTTCTGCCTACCGTTAAATTTATCAATAATACATTTTTTTTCTATATCAGCTAATGATATCTCACTTAATTCTAATTGAGCTTTTAAATCCATACACAATTTCATTAAATCATTTTTATCATCCACTACAAATGTATTTTTATCTGCATTAATTTTTTTTTCGTCTAATTCGTCAAGATAATATGATCTGAATACAAAATTACGTTGGTCATCAGTGTACAATGCACTTACCTCTTCCGATAACATAACCGTTATATTACGAAATTGTCCTTCTTTTACCATACTCTTGCATGCGTTTTTCACAATACTGATTTGAAACAATTCTTTATGTAGATCTTCATGTTGCCCCTTTACGGGAAATGCATACTCAACTGTATCATCCAAAAATCTAATTGTTTTTACCATATTAACTAGTTGACCAGTAACCATCTGTTTCTGGAATTTTATTTTAAACTGTGCAGACATCTTTTAAATTATCGATTTGTAATTTTGTTCAATAATAAGTTGATCGATTCTACAATAAAGTGGTTTATTAATATTAAATTGTATAACAAATACACACATAAACAATAAAGAATAAAGAATCGATAATTTAAAACTTATTACTGTATACTCTTTAAATTATATAAAATAAAAATAATTATTAATTATTAAAAATGTTACCATAGATTTTACACCTTAAATCTATATGATAATACAAATTACAACAGTGATCACAGTGTCCCTATAAACAGTGCCGCCACTGTTATAAATATTACTATAATAATTATTATTATTATTACTAGAATAATAGTTATTAGTAATTAAACACTGAAACGTGATAAAAATTACAATTATTATAATGTCCACCACGTTAGAGTGATCCAGACAATTTTTATCTGAAATATCTTTGCTCAGCTACGTAGAA